TCTATAAGTAAATAAAATAAAACTATCAGATTAAAATAACTTACGAACTTACTATGGTTAGTACCTGTACTTAACCATATTGATTATTTTTATTTTATCTTTGTTATGAAATTTTGAAAAAATATATTTATATATATTAAATTATTAATATTTATTTATAGTAATTTATATTTTTTATTTGTAAAATTTGCATTAATTTTGCATTTATGAAAGAAAAATTTTAAAATTCATTAGTTATATGAGTACCCATATAAGTATATGTAAGTAAAATAAATAGATATAGAATACTGATAAATATTGGCGCGATTTTCAAATGTACTAAATACTAATAATTAATAATATTAAAAATTAATAGTAATTTTATAAATACAATTAATAATATAATTATGAAAAATTCATTATATAAATAAAGAAAATACACATTATTGAAAAAAGTATTTTATTTATTTTACGTTTTTCATTACATTACATTCTCCACATCGCAATTGTATTGTAGCGACATACAATGATTTTTAAGTTTTTGTTTCTAATTTTTTCATTATGATGTATGGTTTATAATTTTCCATTAGATACTTTTCATTTGTGAATTAAGATTACTATTAATTTGGAAGTTATGAGCGAAAAATTTGAAATTTAATTTTATATTATATCGCTAATGATAACATTATTTGTAATAGAAGTGGACATGCAGAAAAAAATATACACATACACATAATTAAGCAATTTTTATGTAATAATTGAACTAATTTATAATATTATTGCATTATCTATGTTATTATTAGAGGACAAAATATTTTTATTAAATAAAATTTAAAATTGCGATGTATATTCAAATATTCTCCTAATTGATAAAAATTAGCAATTGATTGAACTAAAATATAATACAAATTATTTGAATAATCACCATGCATTAATCCATTTAAGTTGTCGCAAAAATTTTTATGATATGAAGTGTTGAAAAGTATATTATCAAAAAAATCTTTATTTTTAATGTGTCAAAATTAATTAAATAAAAGAAATATGTATATATAAACAAAATTTTTGAAATTTTTGTTTAAAATTTGTTTACTTGATAAAGAAAATATTATACTATGTTATCTAATGTTTCAAAACAAATTTAATTTTAAAATATTTTATAAATATTACATTGTTTTAATAAGAAGTTTCATATTCTAATATACATCAATACATATTTATGGTATGTGTAAGAATTATTTTATGTTAGCTAATATGTACCAATGTGTTCTATTGTATTTTAGATATTATTAAACATTGTAATAGCACTTATATACTATACATTGTTATTTGATTTATGATCCTACTTAAGTATTTGTGATTATTAAATATTTTGTGATAACAGTTATATATATGTTTAAATTTTGTAAACATTTTTATGAAATATATTTAAATATCTTAAGGAATTTTTAATATGTTTATGAATAAATTTACACGTAATTTTATAAAGTCTGATTTATAATAAATTAAAACATAAACTATTATGTTTATTAATACCTAAAATATATTAACTTATTACAATTATTAATTTATGAAAATGCAATTCGAAATTATAGTAGAAAAATGATACTTCTTTATACAAAATTTTATCAATAAGATAATGTTATTTCTTCTAATTTTTTCATTTTATAATTGAAATTATATTTTATAAATTGCACAAGTAAATCTTATATCAAAATAGATTTATTTTTAATCACAAGAGTTTCTGCGACAAACTCTGGATCAGCAATGAATGGTGATAAGTAATTAAAAATGATCTAGCAAATTTCTAACCAGAGTCCGTTTAGAACACAGAATCATATTAAGATAGGCTACTTACATTCTTATTGATTAATAAAAACATAGTACGAATGATGATAACTGAAATGTTGCGAGGTTATGATAGAAACAGAAATTTTCTTATTAACAAAATATGACAAGACAAATGAGTGTTTTTTTATTTTAGTAGACTATTATTATTGAATGTTTCAGCTGCCTCTAGTTTCTGTTGAAGATGCTTCTTCACCTCGCTGTATTTTTAACCATTCAACAAATTCATCAAGCATTACTGGCCCTATAAAAAAATGCATATATTAAATATATATAATTTAAGAAATATTTATCATCATTATAAATACATTTACACACATGCTCCATCTAAATCATAATTAGATAAATCGTGATTAATTGTACGAGAAAATTCTAAAATGTTGCACCACTGATCTTTATTAATCACTTTGTACTTCGATTGATCTAGGAACTGAGCAAATTGGGTGAATAATGGCCAATGTTTTCCCAAAAGTAATTGTAACATAACTCTTGCTGTTTCCATATCCATACTTCTTTGATCTTTGTCCTAACATATAATTCATAATATTATCTGTATATATATATGTATATATATATATACACATGTTTATAAAAACTTTAAAATATTCTTAACATATTACTTACTCTAGCAAAATCATAAGCATATCTGTAAATTCCCTTAAATGTATGTGGATCATTTAATTGATTCCTTAGGTACTCAAGTTTTTGTTGTATTTTACTAATAGAATCACACTGCAAGTCTGAAAGGCCTTTTAACCATTCACTGAGTGTGAAGAAACCCATTTGTCGGGCATTCATTTTATATGCAAGAACAAGCATTACTACATTTTCAGGTTCTACACCTATGTCCTCACAAAATTTTTCCATTCCTTCAGGTCCAAGAGTATCTGAATCATCAGGTGTTGTATACTCCCTAAACCATGTGATACAACGTTTTTGAGAAAAAGATGAAGTGGTAGAAACATCTTCTGTTTTTGTATAACGTCTTGCACTAAAAAAAATGAATAATATATATGAAAGAATCTTTTAATATAAATTTGAAAAATAAATCATTTAAATAAATTATTTAAATAATAATATTGAAATGTATGAAATGAATATGTTTATAATATTTAATTTCATGTTACCATTAATATATACATACAGTATAAATTTGAAATGTTGTAGTGCAATTTACCTAGATGTATGTCTAAGTCTTTTTGATGGGTGCCTTGATATACCCTCCTCATGGGCACTAGGTGACATTTCAATAGTCGTATGATGATTTGTGCTAGAGGGCGCTCTACGCTTGCTGCGTGGCATCCCTCTTTTAACTAAAAAAAAAATTTAACATAAATATAAAATATTAAATATTTTAAATTATCTCAATCATTATATTATATTTCATAATCATTATATTATATGATGAATGAATAAAGTTAATTACAAGTATAATTTATTAACTTATAATAAAATATTATTGAAAATGAAATTATTAAGAATATATATTTATAGTTATTTTTAAAACTAATTA